GACAGTGTTAATCATTGTTGTTGTTGTAACATCAAGATGCCATACATGTGCTAGCACAGAATAATTTATTTCTCCAATCTTAGCAGCCCTATCAATGGATGGTTTTGTATTTGTGACGGTAAGTCACTTTATCTTTTTTCTAGATTAGATATTTTATATGCAATGGCGGACATAGGAATTTGTGATTGGAGATTTGGAGGGACAGTATAACAATAATAACACCCAAACGTTATTCCTAAAAAAATGTAGAAGTTGGTTAACATGAATCGATCTATGATATTAGAGTCACAAAAGAAAGTAGGCTTGGACTCGGGCCGGGTGGCCCGAACCGGCACTGTACCGGCCCGGTGGCCCGGTCAATGACCGGTCCAGGTAGGCCTGACCCGTTGGGGGTCCGGTCCGGGCTTGGGCCTACCAAATCACGAACTGGCCCGGCCGGTTCGGGCCCGGTTCCGGACCTTTTTAATTTTTTTTTTCAATTTTTTTTTTTTACTTTTTGGGTTGGGCTGGGTATTTTGGGCCATTTAGGGTGGTTTGGGGGGGTGGGGGGGGGGGTTAACTAGGAAAAGAGAGAAAAAAAAAAAACTAAGGCCCGGAACCGGGGATTACCCGGTTCGGTTCCGGGCCCCCATTCCTGAACCGGAGGCCCGATTGGGCCTAGGCCTGGCCCGGGCCCGAACCGGCCCGAGTCCACCCATGAAGGAAAGAAAAAGATACGTAAAATAAAATAGAGAAGCTAAGATAAAAAGGATAACATAGATAAATATAAGATAAAAAGACATAAGAAAGATAAAAGGTAAAAAAAACATAAGAATATAGAAGGTAAAAAGACATTAATCTTGCACACAAATTTCTGTCATTTTTATCTTAAGTCATATTTTCATTCAATCTAAAAAGAATCATACTCCCTCCGTTTCTCAAACAAAGTCACACTTTCCTTTTTTGGATGTTTCAAAAATAAAGTCACACTTCACTTATTTTCTTATTTGACAAAGAAATCTACTTCAAAACAGTGTCAAACAGTGTCTAAACAGTGCCAAACAGTGTTTCTACAGTAAAGTCAATTTATTTCCTTAATGCTAGAGAAGTCAAGCCGTGACTTTCTTTGTGAAACAGAGGGAGTATAAGTTCTTAATTGTTGAATTCATGTCTATTTAGGTCTTCCTCTTTCTCTCTCTATTTCTCTCTCTCTCTATTTCTCTCTCTTTTCCCCGCCTCTTCTCCCCATCTATCCAATTGTCTAACAAGTGCAACACTCAATTTTCTATCCACATGACCAAACATCAATAGTCGAGACTCCCCGCAACATATCTTTACTTTCACATTTTGTCTGATTGTCTGATCTGGCTTAACCTGCGAGTATACACGTGTTGATGTAGTAATAAAATCAGGTAAAATAGCGGGTCGAATACATCGGGAAATGTTGTTCTATAGAGTTCGGTTTTGTGAAATAAAATAGAGAATAAAAGTAAAGTGCATAGATGTTTGTTGTTTACGTGAATATATGATAAAATGACCAAGACATCGGGTTTCACCCAAACGTTAACGAGGATTTAGGCTAAAGGGTCAAATAGGTCCTTGAACTAGCTTAAAGTGTTCAATTAGCCCCTTATATAGGAGGTTCTGCCCGATCGTCTCCAATTGGGGAGATTCCCGGTAGAATTTTTTGATGAAAGTTTTTTAGCATCTTCTTCATTAAGTCTAGTTTACTCATACCAAATTTCAGCTAAAAATTCAACCGGGAAGGCAGTCAAATGATTTTTTGAAGATAACTGTGCTATTAAACATCGCAGTACATTTCGGAAAATCATTTGACTGCCTTCCCGATTTAATTTTTAGCTGAAATTTTATATGGGTAAACTAGACTTAATGAAGAAGATGCTCAAAAAAATTCATCAAAAAATTCCACCGGGAACCTCCCCAATTGGCGATGGTCGGACTGAACCTCCTATATAAGGGGCTAATTGAACACTTTAAGCTAGTTCAAGGGCCTATTTGACATTTTGACCCTTTAGCCTAGGATTTATTACAAGTTCTTTGTCAATCCTTATGAGTCGATATCACTATTATATCCTGACCCCGGTTAATGCAGTGAGAGTGTGGTTTCCGCTACGTGCGCCGTTACAACTCATGTTCATCTAGAAAAAATCTCATTGAATATTAAGATACCACACATTCACTATACAAGATCGAGTATATTCCTAACCTCAATACTTTCTATGTTTATTCTTCTAGGGAACGATTTATATTGCAACGTTAATTGACTATATAAACCTCTAGATGTTATGCAACATAATTATGTAGATTTAGTTTAAAGAGTAAAATGCGAATTACTTCTTCTAGTGTCCAATTGATATTTCAATGTTAGTTACTTAATATCAATACACATATTATGCTATTATGTTGCACAACATATGTGGAAATTTAAACATGAGAAGAATAAATCATAAATTTTGACTTAGAACAAATATAAAAAACTAGTGGGTATAGAGGTTCATCCCGAGCTTTGGCTTAAGAACTTAGCCTCTAACGCTCATATTAATCAAGACTATAATACTTTGAATGTAGAAAAACATGTAAATATAAATAAAATATTGTCTAAACATCAATGGTTGGAAAAAATGGCCTTCCACACATCAAGAACACCATGAAGAACAAAGAAAAACTAGTACGTTATGAACTAATGAATTAAAATGGGATTGGATGATGAATTTGGGAAGGATTAGAGAGTCTATATAGGTTTGAAAAATGATTTTTGATGGTCTATTCATGACCCTCAATAAACTTGGGACAAAATTTCCGAGTCATACCTTCCAAATATCTTCATTTCAACTCAAGATATTCATGCACGTCATTTGACTTTGTTCACATTTCAATCCCTCACCTCTCTCTACCCTCCATCTCTATTACACTATGGGTATCATTTTGTATCTGCATACTCACAATTATATACGGAGTATTTTATATTTAGAGTGATGTTCCTGCCGGAATTTCCTGACAGAAGTGTCGTCTGGCCTCTGCCTTTTGGGGTGTGGTTTCCGGTGGTATTATTTGCTAAAAGTTTTTGTTGTTCTTCATCAAGTCTAGTTTATTCATACCAAATTTCAGTTAAAAATTCAAACGAGAAGACAGTCAAATGATTTTTGGAAGTTAATTGTGCTCTTTATATACATATAAAATGCAGTTATCTTACAAAAATCATTTGACTGTCTTCCCGATTGAAGTTTCAGCTGGTATTTGATGTGAATAAAACTAGACTTGAGGAAGAACATACAAAAACAAATTCAGCAAAAAATACTATCGGGAACCACCCCAAATGGTGGAGGCCGGACATGGCTCTTGTCCGGACCGGCCGGACAGGAATAATCCTCTTTATTTCTAATACATATTTATAAATTCATATAAAAATATTACAACTACTTATACATTCATATATAAAATTAGATTTTTATAGCTAGAATTTAGAAAGTATTATAGCCATAATTATATTCCTATTAGATATCACATATAATTAAATATATATTAAGTATATATATTATGGTATTAAATACATACTACTATGCTTTTCTTTTTAATACTACTCTGCCTATATGCTTATATATTCATGTTATTAATATTAATGCAACTTTATTATTAGTTACATTTTAACAATAGTCACATTGTAATATTAGTTACATCTTAATATTAGTCACACTATTCACTTTTTAATATTAGTAACATTTCAACAATAGCAACATTTTAATATTAGTTACATTTTACGGAAAAGTATAGAAAACGTACATGTGGTTGGATCGTTTTCAGATAGGGACACATGTTTCAATTTTTAACAAAGTGGAACATGCGTTTCAACTTCGTTATCACAGCTAGGGCATGACATCTAATACCGTTAGAAAAGTTAACTCCGATTTTCAAAAATCTCCGAAAGATTAAAAGAAAAATATTGGGAGGTGCGCCTCGTCAAGGAGACCAACAAACTATCGTTCTCTTTGGATTTTTTTTGCTCTATTTGGATTATTTTTTAAAACGAATTCGCTAATATCACTTTTCTAATGGACTTTCTGGAGACAGGGTGACTCGAAACAAAAAAAGAAAGATGATCTGGAGGTCTTCTTGACGAGACACACCTCCTAGTATTTTTCTTTTAATTTTTCGGAGACTTTTGAAAATCATAGTTAATTTTTTTAACGGCGTTAGACGTCATGCCCCAACTATGATAACAGAATTGAAACACATGTGTCATTTTATTAAAAAATGAAACACATGTCCCTGTCTGAAAACGGCCCAAACCACATGTACGTTTTTTGTACTTTTCCCTACGTTTTAATATTAGCTACATTTTTAATATTAGTTACATCTTAATATTACTCACATTAATCATATTTTCATGGGGTTTTTATAACAATATTATTAAAATAAAACTTATTTACATAAGTATGACTATTCATTACTACAACGTAGTGTTGTAGTAACTTAAGTTCAGAATTTGAACATGATTTACTATGATTTCATTACTACTCTAGTAACTAATCATATTTTTGTAAATCATCTTTATTTTGGTTATATTAATGTAATTATTTCTATTTTCATATTAGTTACATTTTAATATTAGACACATTTTAATACTCCGTATTAGTTACACATTTACACACTTACATCTTAATATTACTAACACTAATCACATTTTCGTATTAGTTATTACATTTTAATATTAGTTACATCATAATATTAGTCACATATAAATACTAATCATATTTTAATATTAGTCATATCTTATATTTGCTACGGAGTACATTTTAATATTTATCACGTCTAAAAATGTGAAACCCTAGAAAATGAATTGATATGAGTAGTCTTCAACACAATTGCGAAAAGAAAATTTTGATTTCTCTATCCTTTTTATTTTTTCAAAAACCATTTTTTTCTCAAAAGGTACCATATTTTACTACCGGTGTTAAACATTTTCTTCTATAACAACTTTAAAATATCAACTTTAAAGTAGAAGCAACCCATCATAAAAAAAGAAGCAATACACACTCTTGCTGCTAAACAGTAAACAAGCGTAATACGGAGCATCTCATACCGTATGAGCAATACGGAGTAAGATTATTCAGATCTGACTTCTGAGGACCGAGGAACTGGAAAACTCAGCTGAGCAGAGAGGACCGACTCATCGACATCGACGAGACGACGAACCGTCACCAACACCAAGTCGCCGACGGCCGACGCAGCGGCGCTTGGCCGCCCTATCCATCCTCAGTGCTCAGCGGCCTCAGCCTTCTGGTACGCTGCACGCGGCACGCCTGCCGCCTAGCTTCTCTTCTCCTGCTTCCACTTTCAGGGCCTGCGATTCTACACTTTTGCCCCTTCAGGCTTCTCAGGAGTTCTGGAGACTGGTACTCTAATCCTCTTTAACTCTTTTATCAATTACTTCTCAGTTGGTGATAAATGTTTAGTTGATATCTTGATTAGTTCATATGATTATATTCATAAACCATAATTGTTGATTGTTCTCTGTTGATTTGTTTGAGCTTTTATTGATGCTTGATTAGTTGGTTAAAAAGAATTAAAAGAAAATTACTCAAAAAGACATCCTGGCCATCTTTATTTTTTTGTTCCCAGCCACCCTGTTGCCAGAAAGTCCACCAGAAAAGTGATATTACCGAATTTGTTTGTCAAAAATAATCCAAATAGAGCCGAAAAATCCAAAGAAAACGATAGTTTGTTGGTCTTCTTGACATGACGCACCTCCCAATATTTTTCATTTAATTTTTCGGAGACTTTTGAAAATCAAAGTTTTAAATTTTGTAACAATGTTAGATGTCATGCTCCAATTGTGATAACGGAATTGAAACACATGTCTCACTTTGTCAAAAAATGAAACACGTGCCCCTATTTGAAAACGGCCCAAACCACATGTTGATATGTTGAATGTTGAAACTGATTTAGTTGTTTTGTTGATGATGCGGTTCTGCCTATTTTTTTATGTTATTAGTTTATAGTTGTTCACTTGTTGAATTTTAAATGATTAGTTCATTTTTCTGTTATATAATTACATCTCAAATTTTATTAGTGTTAACCTGTTTGATAAAATTTTGAATTATAATTAAAATTATTTATGAGAAAATTCCCTAAATAGAATTAAAAGGACAAAATTCATAAATAAAACTATCATTATATTATTCTCAAAACAGGACTCATTCACTCCTATTTTGGGATGTTTTAATCTAACTTATTCTTTTAACATGACTAAATAAGTCCTGTTTGAGGAATAAAACGTATTTGGTCTTATTTTTGAACTTTGTCAATATTTTGGTCCTATTGAGCAATTTCTATGTATAAATTTATGTAATTTAAAGGTGTAATAAAAATGGTTTAATCTGGATGGGAGAAAGAAAATATGGACGATTAGGGAAAGCGGCAATTTTATTATTGATGATTTCTAAATTGGATGTTAGAAAGACTTGATTATGAAGCTATTGTTGATGATTTCGCTTTGTAATGCTAAGCACGAAATGTATTTATATAATTTTTTTATTTTCCTTGGAAAAGAATCAAATGAGTCCTCCTACTATTGGAAAAAGTCAATTAAGTCCTCGCACTATCAAATCACTCAATCAAGCCCTCAAATTATAAAAAATACCCAATTTCACATTTTGTTGGTTAGGTACCGGCAACGTCTTTAAAAGCGCTCGCCCCAGTGCTTGGGAGAAGGGTAGGCGCATACACCTGGGTTAGGCGCAGCATAAGCGCAGGGCGCACGCCTGGGTCGCCCGATACGGAAAAGGTTGACAGCAATTTTTTTAAACTTTCAAAAACAATTAGCCCATATCTTTAATAACACTCAGCCCATCTAAATAATAGGGTAAAACCATTGAAACCTACGTAAAAGTGTAAAACCTCAAGTCAAGTACATAAAAATGTAAAACCTTGCTTAAAACACTAAGCTATCATCGCTAGCCATCATCGCTCTTCAGCCTACTCACTCTCCTCACTCAAGCTGCTCTACACCGGCCAGTTCTTTCAATTTTCTTCATTATCTCAAGCAAACTCAGTTCACCGGCTTCACCCTCACAGCACTAAACAAGATATGTGTTCTTTTTCATGCAACCCTCTTCATCCAAATACTCATATAGTATATTCCTATGTCAAGGTAGTCAAAGTCGTAGGCGCACTCAAGGCGGCGGAGTACTCCCATCGCCTGAGGCGCAAGGCGCAAAAAAGCGCTCGCCTGACTCATGTAAGGTGCATTACTTAGAAAATATCACATATACTATTATGCAAGTATCAAACATGATGTATATAACATCATATTGAACCAACTACATTAAAAAGTCATGTTTCTAAAAAATAAAGTCACGATTCACTAAAATTAATTCATGCATTTGCATCATTTTCATGAGCCAAGTAATTTTGTTTTCAAGCCGGGCCTGTTTTTGCTGATTTGGCAGCTTCAGGGCTGAAGTTCGACTTTTCATGTCCTGTAAATGTACAAGGCAGATATTAATTATACAGTATACTTAATGAAACTATTCAATGATTAGATTATATGAAGTGTACATGAATAAAAATATTAAATAAGAAATTGCTGATAAATGTAACAATAATTACAAAAATGGAAAATATTTTCTAATTAAATGATTAGAAAATATTATAAAAAATTTAAATGATTAGAAAATGGAACAATGAAGAGAATCCCACATGATAGACCACTATATTGGTAGTTTACAAATATTATTGTTTGACTTGTATAGAGTTTATAAGAAGTAGATGCTGAAAAAAGAAAAAAAAGGAAGAAAATGGAACAGTGGAGGAGAAGAAAACTTACTGTCATTGATTCTGCCAGCTTTTGCAGTTGATGTTGAGATAGCGAAGACTGAGGTAATGTGAGTAGAGCAGAGCAGGAGAGTTGAGGACTTGGAGTAGCGAACACCAACACTGTGACTTGTGTTGATTAACGCAAATTTACATCGTTTTGACCTTTTATTTAGATACTTAGTTGGGCTTTATCATATTAAGGATATGGGCTTCTTATTTAAAATAGTCTGTAACTAAAATATTAGGCTTAAAAGTGTGTTTCCACCTCAGGCGAGAATAGCGAGTGCTTTTTAGCGCTTTTGCGATTGTGCGCCTAACCTGCGCCTTACACAGACAGCGCCTGGCCTTTGTTAAGTCGATAAGGCTGATGTGTGCTGCGCCTGGTGCGCTTAAGCGCCAAGGTGCTCGCTTTTGACTACCTTGTGCTGTGTATATAATAATGTACTAGTATATTACTCATGTTACCCGACCCCAAACTCTTTTGGGACTAAGGCTTGGATGTTGTTGTTGTTGTGAAGGAATATAAGCAATTAGATGTAAATGATTATAATTTTCTGATTTTAATCATTTTCTCTTTCCATCGTGTGTAATTTAATGGACTAAAACTTTACTCCTACTGCCGTACATCATAAATGTGTATATACATGAAGAGACTTTGTTTTGTGATTTGTGTGCATGTATAAGTTGAAACTAAAAAACAAGCACTTTCTGTTCTTCTAACTTATAATGACTACAAGTCTACAATCATGCAATCATGCTTGTGAGATTTTGTTTAACTTGTGAGATATCCACTTTTGTAATGTATTTTTGTCACATCATGAATGAACAAATCAAACTCATACTCACATTATTACTTCTTTTGAATAAATGTTTTTTGTTCATTTAAATAGAAGACAGTTAATGCACAAATCTTTCTGAGTATCTAAGATTCTTATGCTCCATTAGTCTCTTCATATATTGTTCTTCCTACCCTTGGGTCATTTCTTAAACCATGGCCCTACTTGTTATACCATTGATTTTGACCTTATTCTTCTGCCCGTGTAGGTTTAGTAACTTATTCTGTCTATATGATCAGCACTTCGATGTTGCCAGAGGGTTAGTGCAGTTATGGCTTGTGTGAAGGTTGTCACTCATCTTAAGGGTAAATTACTAACTTTTTTATGGTATGACTATGGCTGCCTTCAATCAATAAACTCTCTTTGTTGCTTCCTATTCTTTTACTGCTGGAGACTCGAAGGGTCTATTTGAAATCTGGAATTTACAAAGGGAAGATACGCTAAAATTCAATGAATATGTTTTAGCTACTTGTTAGTAGTACTTGCTTTATTTATTTATATCTATCACACAAGGTTTAAAGAATCTAAATGTATGTATAATAAAGGGAGAAAGATCAAATTGGACACTATCGATACATGAGAATCACATGTTGGTCACTACGGTTTTCCGTGGACCAAATTGAATACTATGATTACATGTGAATCTCATATTGGCCACAAAGGTTTCATATTCCGTCGTTTTTGGACACACTTATGATTCTCTTCTTTTGTTAATAAAAATCGTTAATCTTCTTTTTTCTTTCCTTTTTTTGATGTCAATAAACTAACTTAATTGATGTATATAGTTTTAGAATATTAAATTGGAGATTTTAGAATATGTAATTCGATTTTAATTAAGAACTTCTTCATTATATATTTAGGAGTTTTCATTCATATGATTTTTGTGGAACTTTTAAAATTATTGATTTCTTAAATTGATTTATTGAAATAAAAAAATTCAGTTACATTATACTCTGTAATAGATTTTCTCAATTTGAAGATCTAATTATCTAATATAAATCAAACACAAGCAATAATCAGAAAACGTTAAATCTGTGCTGATTTGGTTCATTTGAAACCTTAGTGTTTTTTTTGGAACCGTTGTGTCAAATACGATATTCACGTATAACCATAGTGTCCAATTTGAGCGTTATTTCATATTTGTTTGCATTTTATATTTTGTGGGGTAAAGTCAAACACAAGCAATAATTTAGCATTTTTCCATTTCCTAGTATTTTCTTTCTTGAAACATACCTGAAGATTTAGTTTGTTTAAACCAGGATAGTGGAAGAAATCAACTTGATTTTATGCAATACACATTTTTTATATTTGCTAATGATAGATTATTATTTCGATGGCAGGTTGTCTGTGCCATTATCTCCTACTGGGTGTTATCTGGGTGTTGAGCTGCTTGAATGTAGAGACTCTGCAGATATTGCCCGAACGAAGCAGTGACTTGCCTCTTCCTGCCCCACCCATAAGTGGAATGTTTGAACCCATTGAGATATCACCGGCGGTGTTTCCACATCATTCATTTCCTGATCAAGCTTTGTCGCCGATGTACCCTTCTTTCCCTACCACATATAGTCCCATCTTGAGCGGAAGATGCCTTGTAAATTTCTCTATGATTTCGAACATAACAGAAAAAACAGCGTCTGATTGTACCGCACCCCTCTCAAAAGTAGTAAGAAATGTTATATGCTGCCCACAATTCAATAGCTTGCTTCACATATTTCAGGGCTTCTACAGTTCCAGTTCTAACACATTAGTTTTAGAAAATGCTGTCGCTGATGATTGTTTTAAAGATATCATCAGCATATTAGCGAGTAGAGGGGCAAATGGATCCGTATCTACAATGTGCTCTACCAACTCATTGCATCTTACTGGAGGATCTTGCCCCGTGAAAGATATAGCTACTTTTGAGAAGGTGGTGAATACCAGCAAATTGTTGGAGTCTTGCATCACAATTGATTCTCTTAAGGAGTGTTGCAGGCCAATTTGCCAGCGAGCAATTTCAGAGGCTTCACTTCAAATCTATGGGATAAAACCAAATCAATCAAATATGGTTGATAATAAGAATTTAATAGAATCCCCTGGAAAGTTTGATAGCCTTACTGATTGCAAAGGGGTTGTGCATTCATGGCTTGCCAGGAACTTGCCTTTTGAAGATGCAAATAAAATATTTCGATTACTATCTTCATGCAAAGTTAACAAAGGTATTCTTTTCCTCCGCCATTCATAAATTGTAAGCAGTTAGCATATTAATTTTGTTGATATTGCCTCCCCCCCCCCTTTAAATGCTATGTTTCTTTAAATGATTAAAAGAAACTATGCATTAAACCTTGATTCTTCCCAACGTCGAGTGTTGGGTCGTTATTCATTTTCTGAATATGTTAATTGACTCAATTGAGATCCTACTATGTCTTTGTGGATCATGTTTCATTTCATTGTTGAAGTGTTATGAAGTATTACTAATATTTAGTAGAGAAAAATGTCTTGTACTTGTAATTTACGCTATTGGGAAGTGACAAGTCTTGAACAAATTATTTATTCCCGCCATCTTTAAGAACTTGTAGTTTGTTTTATATCTAAATGTGAATGTTTATGTATTTTTACATATCAATTTGTCATCTCATGCTAAAAGCTAGTATCGTGGAATCAAAATATATATTGTTATTTTGTATATTGTCAGGCTCCTAAACATCTCTTTATTTGCATTGCAGTCTGCCCTTTAGATTTTAAGCAGCCATCTGAAGTGATAAAAGAATGTCGAAACTTAGCAGCACCTGGTTCATCATGTTGTAGCTCACTGAACTCATACATTGCTGATATACAAAAACAAATGTTGATTACTAATCGACAGGCGATAATGTGTGCAACTCTATTGGGATCAATGTTACAGAAGGGTGGGGTGATGACAAATGTGTACGAGCTTTGTGATATTGATTTAAAAGATTTTAGCCTTCAAGGTAATACTCGATAGATATTGTTTGCTTATTCAATCTTTTTTTAAATGGTTCCTTATTCTGGATCTTATGTTTCACCGTATTTATTCACATGAATTGGCATTGGAGCAGCATATGGTGGAGAAGAAGGTACTTATTTACCTCCTTTTCATTATTGTCCTCTTCTTAATTTTAAGCTAACTTTTGACATCATATGGATGATTGCTGGACAATTCAAAAAAGTGAAACAAGAAATACCTTCTTCTTGATGCGCTAAATATCTATCTAAGTTGTTATCTAAAAGAGCTCAGTGAGGTTTTACAAGGTTAGAGATGCGTAGACTAAAATTTGAAATGAATAAAGCAGGGTGCTTGCTTCGAAGCTTGCCTACAGATATGGTATACGACAACTCAGCAGGTTTCAGCTTTAACTGTGACTTGAATGATGATACTGCAGCTCTATGGCCTTCATCATCATCTGGTACATTCTCCTTTTGTGCACCTGGTAAGTTGATGAATATTTTTTGTTACAACAACTTTGCAACTTATTTTACGTTTTACTATCAATTCATTGCTATACTATTATCGTCGTTGTCATCGTCATCATCATCATCATCATTATTCTTATTGCTATTGTTTTTATTCATCTCCAAAATGGTTGCGATATACTCACTTTGTGATATTGAATTCCATTAAAATTTGCAGAGATGTCCTTACCAGCATTACCGACATCTTCAGAGGCTGGTATGTTTAAGTCATGTCTTGAGTTATCTTAGTTGCTTGGATAATTTGATAGTACTCTATATCTTATGCAGCTTTTTTTTTTGTAGACAAGTGGATTTCATTGATTTTATAGCTTATTTTTTTTTGTGTGTTTGCAAATATATATTATTGACATATACAGTTGAGACCTAATATGTGATGCCCTAACTCCTAAGATGAATTCGTTTGTGTTTCTTTACGGGGTTTACTTAAAAAAAGTAAAAACAATCACTCTTTGAAATGTACTAATGCACTTGAAAAAATGCCAAATCTCAATTATGTCCTACAACCTCAAATCAATATGTGAAATGAGAAATTGAACATTCTTCTGAGATGAACGAAAAAGGAAAGTAGGACGCGTATGAAATGAAAAATGTAGATGGAGTTTTTGGCAGCTGATATATTTTCTTATGTAACACCTGCAGGCTACCGAATGCTGGATGTTGCTGTGTTGTTTCTTTCTTTTTTTGTTTCCAAGTTGTTGTAGCCATGAGATTTAGCTTTTAAGTATTGGGCCCTATTTGGAATGAAGTATAGGAAGTCATAGATGATGAACTTTGGGAAAATCTCATGTATATTTTTACATATTTTCATGTATGTATAGCTTTTTATGTTTCATTGTTAGGTTATCCACCCCTAGAAGTAGTTTTTTTTTTAAATGAGTGTCTAAAGATGCAAGTTGGTGCAAAAGGCTATCTTTGTATTGTTGTATGCAGACTTGAAGCAAATTTGTCTCCGGTGTACATTAAAATTAGTGGGCGTTTGGTTCACAGAACCTTTTATTTCCACTTAGAATGTGATTTTCTGGGGTGTGTATGTTTTGCTCGGTTACCCTACTAGGAATATTTTAGATGGATATATCAGTGTCATGTATAATAATAAAGTACGATTTTTGACAATTATTTTTGATACGTTCTATGTATAAAATTGTCTTTTACAATCCTGAATCCTGATTTATATCTTGTCTGGAACTTTGTAGCGTTTATCATAGGGATGGATAAGGGTGGACCCGGGCCGGTTCAGGCCTGGGCCCGGCCGGGCCTCAGGCCAGAAAACTAGTCATGGACCCGGGCCGGTTCCGGTTCTGTGCCGGGCCCGGCCGGGCTTTTTTTTTTTGGGAAGGAAGGCCCGGGACCGGCCCGGGTAGCCACCGGGTCCGGGCCGGGCCGGGCCAGGCCTCCGGTTCGGTTATAATTTTTTTTTTTTTTTTTTTTTGCTTTCCTAACCCCCCCACTCACCCCCACACCCCCCCAAACCCCCAAACCCCTCCTAACCATCAAGCCCAACTTGGCTAACCCCAAAAAAAGAAAAAAAAAAATTAAAAAAAAAATTAATTCGGCCCGGGCCCGACCCGGCCGGGCCGGTTCGCCAAATTCAAGGCCCGAGCCTGGACCCGGACACCCCACCGGGCCTAGGTCCGACCCGAGAACCGGGCCGGTTCCGGGCTCGCACAGTGGCGGGCCGGGCCGGTCCCGGGCCGGGCGGCCCGAACCGGGTCCATGCCTACAGAAAACTGGGGCCCGAGCCCGAACTGTTGGTGGCCGGTTCCGGTTCCGGGCCAAACCGGGCCGGGCCGGGCCAAACCGGACCCCCCCCCCCTTTTTTTTTTTTTTTTTAATTTTAGTTCTCCTATTTAACCCCCTCCCCCTCAACCCCAAACCACTTCAAATGGCCCAAAATACCTAATCCAACCCAAAACTTAAAAAAATTTCAAAAAAAAAAAATCCGGCCCGGACCGGGCCCGAACCGGCCGGGCCGGTTCACCTAAAGCAGGGCCCGAGCCCGGACAGCCTATCACCCGGGCCGGGCCAAACTGAACCGATGGACCCACCGGGCCCTGGGCTTGGCCGGGCCAAACAGTAACCGGGCCGGGCCGCCCGGCCTGAGTCCACCCCTGGGGATGGACTGGGCCGGTTCAGGCCGACCCGGTACCCGGCCTGGACCACTACTGTGTGGTACCAGCCTGTCCCTGTCAACCGGGTCAGGGCTTTGGGGCCCGAACCAATTTTTTTTAAAAGTTTTTTGGCATTGGGCCGTTGTTAGGTGGGTTGGGCTGGGAGTTTTGGTGGGGGGTGGGGAGGGGGTTGGAGGTGTGGGAATAAATTAGAAAAGATTTTTTTTTAAAAAAAATTGACTTGGCCCGGCCCGATCCCGGTTTAAACTCGGGCCGGTACCGCGGCTCAGCCCAAACCCCAGTACCGCCCAAACCCGGGCCCGATGCACAACCGACTTCTCTATTCAATCAAGTCAGTGGCTTTAGGGTAGGCATGGTTCGGGCCGGGCTCCGCCGCTCCGGGCTTGGGTGGGCTCTGGGTCCAAAATATTCAGACCCGGTACTGGCCCGGGTTAGTACTGGGACCGGGCTGGGTTGGATTCCAAATTTTCTTTGGAATGAAAAGCTCAGGCTTGAACCACTGGAGGAACCCATCAAGCATATACTACCTCCGTGGCTCCGTCCCTTAAAACTTTGCCAAGTTTGACCGGCACAAGAATTAATAAAGTAAAAATTGTGTGGTTGATGTTTGTGTAGAGGAGAGAGAATTAACTGGAACCACAAATTTTTTTCATTGAAAGAGAAAGTGGCAAAGTTAATGGGACATCCAAAAAATGAAAGTTGACAAAGTTTTAAGGGACGGAGGGAGTATGTGACATGCCTCGAGACAAATAATAGGAATTAAGCACCAAAGGGACGGACCAGATGAGCGGTGGCAGTCGTGCCGGGAGCGACGAGGACGATGATGAGGTTAGCTACAATGAGCAAAGGGGAAACAAAGTCCATGAAGAAGGAAACAAACAGGATTGAGGAGAAGCGAGAGTAAAGACGGGAAGTTGTCTTCAAGAAAAAAAGGAAAAACAAATAAAGAAGATGTGAAAGTCTCAAAGAAATAAACTAAATTATAATAAAAAAACTTAAAAAGCCACATGGAAAATCAAACTAGGTAGTTAACTGGAAGATTTGTTCGTTACCTGATGAACTGCTCAATTGGGTGTTTCATAAGAGTTTGAGGATTCAATTGATTGATTTTAAAATAGGAAGACCTAATTGACTTTTTGACTATACTACGAGGACTTATTTGACAGTATTCCCATTAGATTTATTCAAATAACATAATCTATTTTACATTCAAAGTGATTATTTTTTTGAAAGATTCAAAAAAATGCCAATCCATTTTGCAAAGATTCAATTCTTTAAAATGCCAAACAAGCCCTTTAGCTAAACTTTGTATCCAATCAAGTCGCGTGTAAAGGTTCTCACTTTTCTTATTCAGATCTCCCTATTAAAGGTTCTCATTTCATTTTAAAAACAGTACATATATTATATACTTCACATAGCTAATGAATGTATAAGACATTATTTTTAAAATTTGGGAATATAACTAATATTACGAATCAAATTTTCTAAATTCCAAGTTTAGATGATATTGATTTTTCATAAGTATAACTTTTGACTAGAAATGAGTTATATGAGACATAATATATCAAATTGAAATTATTTCAATTTTCTACATTCTCAAAAGAATGTAAATTGGAGTTTACAACTTTAAAGAGATTTTCAACTTTAAAGAGATTTTCTACATAATATACTTTGGAGTTTACCACTTTAAAGAGATTTTAATGTAGTTTTTGAATATGTAAATTTTAATTATTAAAAATTGATTTAATTATTCATACGGAGGGTTGACTTTTATTATTGGTTGACCAAAAATTGTTGACATTGCAAAACAAATTGGGACGGAGGTAGTAATAATATTGTAATAATCATTATATTATTTGTTACTGATTCAATGAAAGATTATACAAATAATGATTAATAATGAAAATAAAAGATCAATTTCATAATTGATTTGGCATTCTTCAAGCCCCGTTCACCAATGAGTCCTTGCTTTTGCCTTCAACTCCCTGTTGGCCATCAACAGCAGCCCACCATGCCAATTTCAAATAGGGGTTTGCTCCCACCTGCCAAACAAAGCTGTGGAAAATGCACCATGTCAGAAGTCCATGGTTAAAACCAGATGTATTTGTTCCAGCTTAGCACACTGCAATAAGTTCAGATTGTGTCAAACTCTAGTCGATTGACAGGGTTGTTGTAAAAAAGTGTTGTGGTAACCATTAATATGGTGCCAAACAGATATGAATATGTTGTCATTGATATGTTCACAGGATATTTCTTTTAAAGCGGAGCCTGAAATGCTAATCCATTTATATGGTAACCATTTATATGCTACCATGCAAATACAATTTTCTATTAAACACAACATGCCAACTTTTACACAACACTTCATATAGATTCATTACAAAACGCAAAATGAATTACAAGCCACATAGTAACACTGATGATTTCACTTATTTATGAGACTAACCAGAATACTAATTTTGAAATGGGAATTTAGAACAAGTCAATTTTCAGCACCTGTCTTAATAAATAACCCCAATTGGAATCACACACAAATCATCTTAAAAGATATCCGGGAAGATAGAACAACTCTTATTTACAAAAATCAATTACCTGCCGAACTTGAAGCTAATCCCGTCACTTGATATCATAAGGATGACAGCAATGAGCAAGTTTACTTGCATTGGAGACTTTGGTGCAGGTGCTTTCATAGATTAGCCCAAAAATATAGTGGAATCATGTGGGGCTATTACTATTGCAGCTATCTTTTTGAACTAAGACTTTACACATAGTAATTCTTTGCACTGGTTTCAACAACATGATGTTTAGCTTTTCCTTCCTCTGTACAAACTTGCATTTTCTCAACAAGATCAGTTTTATTCCCTGCTAGAACATTTATACACCACTCTCATGCTTAGTCAAATTAAAGGAGGTACTCAAAGAAATAAAGAAGATAATCTGGTAAATAGAGGTTTCCACGAAGAGATCACCTAAATTCAAGTTGAAGTGTGTGGCTTCCCTTCAAGCATAAGTCAAAACAACAAAACACAAGTTAAAATAAAAGAAAATGTGCTAAAACAATTTACACAAGATAGGAAGGTAGAGAAACTGATAAAAATGGAATAAAAATCATAGTCCATCTCTTAGTTTTTTTCAACCTATGCCTTTTCAAGTAGCAAAGTCAACTATTATTATAAATGAAATAAGAATCATAGTCTATCTCAAAGATAAATTAAGAAGCATGATTATGTCTATGTAACAGCAAGTTAACGCTATGATGTTTGTGTAGTTTTGCCAATTGTTATTGTGTTTATTCCTTGATTAAATTAAACTTCTAATCAAACTTTATGTATCTAGGAAACACAAATTGAAGCAGAAACTTCAAAAGACCTGTTCTAGAATCCATTACTTTAATTAGAAGGTGACAATTTAATTTTATAAACAACTTTCAAAATCTCCAAGACACCATTGAAGCTTTGACTAATTCATGGAGATTCTTTATAATCACCGTACACACAACCCTTTATAGCTTTAAGTTTTCTAGAAGCATGAAAACCCGATAAAGCACAAACCAATGGTTTGATGCGGCAGCAAGTTCATTGATTATTGAATTGTTTGTTGCAGCAACATGGTTCGTCCATCTTCAGATTCATCGTTAAACTTCACAAGGCTGAGAATATACTGCTCAAGTTAATTAAAACTAAAAAATAATCTAGTCATTGTGACTAGAGTATACTGCTCGATCTAGTCATCAACAACTCACAAATTATACAATTACTAGTAAAAATCGAAATTCATACATGCTAATTTCTACTATCAAGTTAATTAAAAGCAGCTTTAATACTACTACTACTACTACTAATAATAATAATAATAATAATAATAATAATAATAATAAAACATGTGGGTAGAAAACATGTCCACAACAATGCCTCCCAGTCTTGTGCCGCCTGAAGCCGTCCGGGTCTGGATTTCGCGGACGGCTTCACCCGCGGTTTGCTTGTGAGCTTCGATGAGGGATCGGAAGCTGGTGTTATCCGTCGCCGTCGAAGCAGAGAGAGGCACGAACTTCAATCTGGACGACTTTGGTTTATTGTGGGCTGCAAGAAGTGATTCGACGTCAGAGCTAAGCTTCTGATCGTTGGTAGGTTTCATGATCAATACAGAGATAGAGAGATCATTTCTGCCGCGATTCTGAAGGAGGAGCTTCGCCATTTGAATGGCGGAGAGAAGGTGGCTCATTGCAGGGGTCGGAATGAAAACCAGATGTGTACTTCCTTCCATTTTCTCGTTCCAGTATGAGATGGTCGATCTGAGAGTATGAAGGAGGAGTTTCGCCATTTTAATTACTTTACTTATGTATTACTACTAGTTAGTAGTTTATGTATGAGATAGTCGATCTCAGAGTCGCATTCGATCGTTGTATATATACATACATACAACATACCAAGTACATATGAAGCGCAAAGTCAGTTAATTGTGTGAGGAGGAGAATTGATTCTTAGTGTATAGAAAGAGCGTTGATTTTTCTTGGGAATTAAGAACTCTTGACATCATGGCTTAGCTCGAATTTTGTGTTTAGATTTGGTTAACCCATTTATCAAAGGAGTAAAGGCCAAGTTAGACCAAGTTAGGCCAATAATATCTACACTCCTATACATTATACAAATATATATGAACTGTCATTTTTTTATAATAAGACATTCAATAAGGTACAAAAGAGATGATGGGAATACTTCCACCCACTAACCCTCGAACCAGGTTGAGAACCAATTACCCTAAACAAAGCAATATGATTCGCTGATCCTATAATGGATCTATATGAGCCTATCATGGCCAGAGCAAAACTCTCATCACCCCTACTTAATGTAAGAGTTTGACAGAAATAAGCATACGTAACAAACAAAAACAACATAACGTTCGAAGTAAAAACGCAAACAAACTAAAATAAAAATAGAGATAACCTTCCAAACCCTAGCCCCACAATGCCTCCATGGCAGCGGTTCAGGAGGGGGACGAATCAACGTCTCTTCATCTTCTTTCGCCCATACGGGATTAGCCGCGGAGATCAAAGCTCAATTTACATCCTCCCAGAGTTCCAGCTAACTGTCTGGTCGATGCTGGGGGGCATCAGGGATGGGGTGTCATCTTTTTTTAGTACTCTATCCCAATTTGTTTTGCAAACTTTGAATGCCACAAGAAATAAAGAATGAGTTTTTTTTTTTCCAATTTGCCCCATCTTCCATAAAATAAGGTTAAAACAAGGGTAAGTTTGTAACTTCATACCTACAATAGAAAGTGAACAATTATTTTGACACAATCAAAATTAGAAATTTTAATCCACTAGTAAATTTTTAATTTTTTTTTTTGAATTTTTTAATAATAAAGAATTATACGTAATGTATATTAATGATCAAAGTTGTGTTTCGAAAAATGTGAAAAGTTGCGCACTTGCATTTACGAGTATTTAAGAACAGACAAAAAATTTATAAATATTTTATATTTTAGTCCCCGCTGTTTGCCTCTTTCTGCTGCTGTTAGGGAGTGTTTGCAACTGCTTCTGCTTAAAAAAAACACTTTTGGAGATGTAATGAAAAAGTGATTAGTAGTAAAAGTTGATAGTGTTTGAGAAAAAAGTGATTTTGAAAAGTAAAAGTTGGTAGTGTTTGGTAAAATAAGTGTTTTTTGTGTAATAGAAAAGGGAAAAACACTTTTCACATGCAAGCCGAGAAAAAATAAAAAATTGGAAGTATTTGGTAAATAATGTTTTTTTAAGCCAAAAGCTGAGAAAGGTTTTTTTAAAGCAATTGCAAAGTGCAAACACTCTGGAACCGTGGAACTAAATACGTAGTAAGAAACTAGAAATGGAGTGGGCAATATCCGCCGTGAACAAGGCAGCGAGTAGCAACACGGTGGTAAACGTATTTCTGTTGAGCGTTTTCGGGGGTCTGAGTGCAAGGTCGTTTAAGCAGCAGAAGGATATCGAGGCGTTGGAGGCAGAGAAGAACTCTATTGTTAATTCCAACAAGGAAATGAGGAAGACCATGTGGGAATGGAGGCAGCAGCTCTACGCGGATGCCGAGGCGCTTTCCTCTCAATCCATCGTTCCCCTCTCCAAACTCAAATCCATTTTCGGAGATAAGGAAACCGCCGCCCCTAATGCCCTCACCTTCCCTTCTTCAGGTGAATATATTTTCGTTCTATTCTGAAATTGATTATATTATTGCTACTAAAAATGTTGCGTTGTAACCACAAATCATTCTAATTCCAACTAGTATTCTAATTTATACATGCATTTGAAGATTTCAGACTTTTAGGGCTTCATGCTATTCTAAAAGAAATACTAGCAGAGGGTTGACTTCTTGACTTCTATCCAGCTTGTACTCAGTAATAAATAACTCACTCGATGCAAGTGAACCTTGACTCTGTAATGATTAATGACATAGCTGACAAAGTTTGTTTAGGCTCCCATTCAAAGTTAACCAGTCAATCTCCATGTAATAGATCATAGGAAATGGACAATTTACATTTCTTTGGAGCTACATGCTCTTTTAGTGCACATTTATTTACAATTTAAGAGACTAAACACACCTTTAGTGCTCTTCTGAAGACCCTATATTTCGGTTTATCAACTATACTCTAACTACTGTTTACCAAAAACTAATTTATCTAGTTACACATGCTGTTTCATAATGAGGAAAGTAGTGCCGAATGTACTTTTTGTCCAAAATTGATAGATTGAATAAAAATGATGACATTTTACCTGTACTTTCATTGATTATTTTCTTTACATTAATAAGAAAGACTAGAAAGTATAATTCTTCATCAAGCTCATCAACTTCAGACATTTCAGCACAATTTATGCAACTCCAGTCAGTTGGATCAAATTTACTTTACCAGAAGGGCTCTTAGCTCTTTAATATAGATGTATAATGAACCCCAATTTGCCAAGGTAGCTGGCAGAATACGGCTCAGCTCTTATACCTTCGGTTGACATTCTAACACATCACTACATCAGTATATTTAAAGTGGTTGTGGCTCATCTTTTGGGCTATCCTTCTACTCCATTCTTGATTCTACTCTTATCTTCCAAGAATAATTACATAATGTATTTTCTGGTATAATAAAGGGGAAATTTGGCTATGCGCCCCACTTTTTGGCTAATATTGGACTTTGCACCTCATTTTCAAAAAGGTTTGACTTTGCACCCCATTTCACTAAAAAATCCTTCGACTTTGCACCCCATTCAGAAATTTTTCTTCACAAAATGTTATATGATGGGGTGCAAAATCAAAGTTTTTTCAAAATGGGGTGCAAAGTCCAATATTACCTAAAAAGTGGGGTGCAAACTCAAATCCCCCTGTAATAAACATACAACTCCATTCCTGAGTCTTGATTGGTCATATTGGTTCATTCAAGAACGTGGACTCTTTAAAAGATATGGATCTTAGGTTAAGACATAAGATGGTAAGAGAGTATTTAGACTCCGAAACTCTTTAAAAGATATGGATCTAGGACTGTAACTCTTTTCGTGTGCTCTTTTCTGCTTAGCATATCAGCTCTTTTTAACATTAAACTCATTAATCGAACACCCATCCCCTAAGTTATACATGCAGTTTGGATCCACCAAACTCATTAAAAGATTTTGTGGATCACGTTGTAAACAAATCCTTGAGCTTTCCCGAGGGCTCATAAAAAGTAGATTGCTTTTTTCGTAGTTGACCAAAACGAGAACACACTAAAGAAAATATAATCTCTTAGCCTTGTTTTTTTTAGAAAAATCAAATATGCAAAAAACATACGTAGTATATTTCTATTTCTCTATCTTTATATAATAGAAATCAATAGAAATATTAGTTGGAAGTTAGAAGAAATATCTAAAACTGATATATTTAGTTTGATCCTGTTTTTTTCCTTTCAATATATTTTCTTAGCAACGTATCCCCTGTGCTTACTACATCTACTTGAAATTATTTTCCCTATGTGCCTGCAGATGGAAATGAGAAAATGCCAAATTCAAGAATTATCATCTGAATGCTGTGTTTGGGTGAATTAATGGTAACGCCAGTACAGAGCCACTACTCTAGTAGTATTTTTGTTGGATTATTATTACTTAAGGTATAACGGATCTCTACTCGCATATTTTTGTTCGATAATGGCATAGTAGAAAATAGTATAGCAGCATGGGCTCGTGTAGCAAGTGAATGCTGTGTCTATTGTTCTTGGAGTGTCATCATGTAACATGGAGATGCAAATGCCAGAGATATTATAAATTTAATAACAATGCCATCCGATAAATTTTATCGGATGACAAAGTTTTTTGGGACTGAGGTAGTAATAAATTTAAGGTCCGAAATTTTATATTGGTTGATTTATAATGACTTTTGTTTGTACTTCAATAAGAGCAATTTATTTTCATTGCATTATCACTAAATTCAAGTTAAGATTTGGGATAGATGAGTAATGGTTTGCATTATCACTAAGGATATTCTTACTTGGACTGTAATTCGTCCCGACCAGATCAGACCAGACCAACAAATTACAGTCCAAGTAAAAACATCCTAGATTCAAGTTGCCTTCGGTAGATCCATTTCATGGACAAAGTATTTCAGATGCAACTGTTGTTTAAGCATTTGCAAGTGCAAAGGTAAACCCTTTGAACATTGAAGTAATAAAAATAAAAGTCTGAGTAGTGCAACTATTTGTGTTTCTAACAAGTTTTCACACTAACACATTTTATATGTTTTGAAGCATATTTTTTTGGTTAATTATCTAAATGTTATAGGATACGTGTGCCTTTTACTAGTTTCATAGTATGAGGTACCGGCAGTGGCGGAACCAGCTCGGTGCACTTGGAGGGGCACATTACGGGCTCGAATCTTTACTAGCTTAGGAATCGGCTTGCAAAACAGATTCATGTAAATTCATTGTCAAACCCGAGCTCAATCCATCAATAACAACAAAAAATAACTACTTTAGTAAATGTGGGCGTTCTCACATTAATCATTGTTCCTGTTTAATTCTAAACATAAGTTTTTTTAAAATTGAAAAATCCGTTAAAATAATGTTTTCCCTAAATCACATATGGATCTAGGCCTCGGCTCACACCCAACTTGAAGGGAAAAAATAATTACACATAAGTGACTAAAATAAAGATTGTTTTAAAAAATGTGACTAGTGTAGTAATGGAATTATAATAATTTATGTTCAATTTTTAAACTTAAGTTACCGGGACACTTAATTATAGTAACTATTAGTCATATTTGTGTCAATAAGTTTTATTTTAGTAATATTTGAAAAAAATCCCTAATCAGACATTTAAAAATGTTTTTATTTTTAGTGTAAAAAACTTTTGTGTAACACTTTTTTACAAATATTGTTTGTATCTGTCCAGTCAAACCCGGTGCCCTAACTCCTCCCCAACCCTTTATCAGACCTTTGAATTATTCTTAAGCATCCCAAGCATTAGGGTCGGCCTAAAATTGTCAAATAAAGGTACAACTCATTCTAAGTGATAAACAAAATAATTGGTCTCCAATTAAAAAAAGTACGGCAACAGGTAAACTCCATCTTCTCCCCTCCTTCCAAAACAACTCATTTTTTTTCTCCCCTCCTTCCATAATTCCACAAACGAACACTAGCACACATAAATAACGAACAGGCTTATAGGTCCCTTTGCTTTTTCTGGTCATCCTCTTGGAACGAGTATACTGAGTACAACAATAGCACACCAATTCAATGATCGATCGAACCCTGTTTCTTCTCCGACATAGCACCGGGCAGAGCTAAGAATTCCGAACAAAGCCCACCGTAGACCACCATATATATATAATAAACAAACAAAAGGTCTGCAGGGGCACAAGCACCCCCAAGCCCTATACTAGTTCCGCCACTGGGTACCGGTGTCATGGTGGTGTCAATTCTTGCATCTAATATTGTTATGTAGTCCACTAGTCCAAATTGGATACATACAACCAAAGGTGAACCTGGTCCAATTCCGGACGTGTTGATTTCTCTGTAGTTGCTAGGGGAAACGGGAACGAAACAAGTTGGCAGTAGAGACCATAGAAACGAGCCACACCTGTGATCTTTCATCAAACGAGCATGCGTTTGAATGAGGGTTTCAAGACGCTCAACCAGAGTAGATACTAGATAGGCAACCCTCATGAAACTCTGATTGTACACTATTACCCAGACTACCAAGTGTATACACCATGATAACCTCCCATGAATATTGATATAAAGCACTTATAAACTATAATTAAAAAAATGGCCACTAGAACCAGTCCTATTTAGGAGGAACCAAAGAGGAATTGGACTGGAATCATTGTTTTTTATTCAGGCTCAAGGCAAATAATTGGCAGGTTCTAAAATCGGGACAAGGTCCGCTTCTAATGACAATTAACATAAATGCTTTGGTTTTGTTGCATCTATGCATATATTTACCTCAAAATATTATTGATTGCTTCTAAGTGAAATGATTTTTATTGAGGAACTAATTTGTCATATTGGGTGCTTATCTTGATAATATTGAAAATAAGTGTGAATAAATAATATGAAGTAGAGAGTGTAATATATGGAGAGAGTTCTCATTCGTGTGTTTATAGAGCAATGCCTCGTGCATATTTATAGTATATATGCATGGTAGGTTACATGAGAAATAATACAAGTTGCATGGCCCATGCATGCAAGTAGACAGCAGGACAAGCTAACCTATTTACATGTGTGTTAATAACAATTAAAATAATAATAATGGTAAAATATCAAATATCTCAACACTCCCCCTCAAGGTGGAGTGTGAAGGTTACAATCACTCAACTTGCTTCGAAGGAATCGAAAATGATCTGCCCCAAGTGCTTTGGTGAAAATATCGACCACCTGATTATTTGTGGAGATAGAAAATGGTCGAATTTCATTACTAGCAACCCTTTCTGGAACGAAGTAACAATCTATTTCCTTTCTAGAACTGTTGAGCCTCCACTCACAGTCACAACATCAGAAAGTGGGGGGCTTGTGATGGAAAATATTCCTCCAGACCCATCACAATCTGTATATAAGATCTTATCGGGAGTCGAATATACAGAAAATATTAGCATATTCACACAATTTAAGATTAGTGTAAACAATTAAGAAGAAGCACACTCAGGCCCTTCACCATACCTTTGTATATATATGTTAATATGACATGTGTGTGTGTGGGTGAGGAAACTTTCAGTGTGCTGCCCATCTGAATATATTAGCTACTTAAGGACTAGTTACACATGGAAGAGGAGGAGGACATTGGCCTAGCTACAATCCCATTTCCAACAAGACAACACTCCCCTCTCTCCTCTCATGCACATGTATATTTTTTCTTCCTAGCTTATTTCTCCATTAATGGCGTCCCTAGAAGGTTCATATATCCTTCGTATATGTAATCTCACCCACATAAATATAATACAAGCTTCCGACTCCTGTTGGCATGGTACCGCCCAAAAAGGCCCGTGGTTTTCACCGATTCGGTTTCCACTATAAAATACTCTTTCCGCTCTAATTTTTTTTTTTTTTACTCTATCGGGAGAATCTGTTCCATCAATAAGGAAGACTTCCAGGCAAAAGTTTTGGGCTATCTAAAAGAAAGCATATTAAAAAGGGTGCAAGGATGGAATAACAAATTTTGTCTATAGTAGACAGGGAAGTTCTTCTAAAACGGTCGTTTAGGCCATGTCGTCCTATGCGATTAATGTCTTTTTATTGTCATTGGATCTCAGCGCAGACATTGAAAAATTATGAATGGGTATTGGTGGAGAGGGAAAGAGATGGCGGGAAGGGGTATTCAGTGGAAACATTGAAGGGCAATGTGCTTACCAAAACAGAAAGGTCAATATGTGAGTTTAATATTGATGTGCTTGGGAAACAAGCTTGGCGTTTAAGACCAATACATTTGATGGATAGTCTACCCGGGGGGTATCTTATCCGAGGGGTTATTACGGGAATAACTAGAGAGAAGTCATAGCAAAATAGGAGGAGAGAGAGTCGATTTTATTGAATGAACTCAGAGTGTGGAGTTGAGATGTCGATCATGTTTTACAAGGAGAAATGGGCTGCTATTTATAGCAGCAATAAATGCGATGAGAGGACACGTGTCAGTAATCCAACGGCCGAAGGGTCACATCAACCGGTTGGCACCGGCAGTGGTACGTTTACCGCATTGAATGCGGTTGGCGGATGTGACGTGGCATTAAATGCGGTGGTTGGCTGTCTCTAAAGGGAATCTTCGATGATTGAATGTGCTTGGCCGAGGGCTCCTTGTGTTGCCGAGGGCTCCATGTAGCCGAGGGTCCCCGTGTAGCCGAAGGCACTGTGTGACCGGAGGCATGGTTTAGCCGGGGGCTTCTCTGATGCCGAGGGCTCGATAATGCCGAAGGCTCATGTTTTTCGCCGTTTTCTCCCAGTAGCCTCTTATGCCAGAGAAGGCTACCCTGTGAGGTTTGGAGCCTTCGGCCAAGGAGGCCAAAGGCACCCCAGTGCGTATTCTGGGCTACGTTGAGGCTTGGGCCGCCGCATTTTGGGCCTGAGTCGTTCCCTGGGCCCAATGAACTTGTGTAGGAGAAGTAGGAGTCTATGGGCCGGGGGTTCCTGGGCCATATACTCCATCAGGAGTCCCTCACTCCTTTTGCCGAAAGGTACTTGAGGGAAAAGGAGTAGATGTGTTGATTCTTCTGGGGGCTTCATCATTTGGTTGGGTGCCTTTGCTTGAGAACTTGCCTCCTGCTGATTGTCGAAGGCTTCCCCCAGTCCCTCACATGTCGAGGGTTTTCTGAGGGAAACTTTTGATACTTTATTTCGCTATTGCCGAAGGGTACACTGGGTCACGTACCCGAGGGGTTATGCCTTTGCCCCGGGGCCGTGTGCGTTACTTGTGGGTTTTTGTATGAAGAGGTTTTTGTTCCGTAAGATTCCCGAGGGGTGTATCCCAGTCCCCCACTCCTTTAGGCTGAAGGCAAGTTCGGGCTGAAGGAGTTATAGTGTGTTGTTGGGTTCTCCGAGGGGTTAGCCGAAAGCTTATACTACTATCTGCTCGAAGCCTCTCGCAGGTGGTGGCCGGGGGCTACCACCCAATATACACGTCGAGGAGTGGCAACATTGACAAGTGAAGGCTTTTGTTGCTGCCGGCTCGAAGGCGTTATGTTGGAATTCATTGGCTGAAGGTTGTGGTGAGTGATAGCCGGAGGCTATCATTCGAGGGCACCCCAATGTTGCCGAAATATAGTCGTTGTAATATAGCCGTTGGAAGAGGGGTTGACGTGGCGCGTTCCCGTTGGTTGAAAGGGGGCGGGTGTCACCCATAGGCTGAGGCGGCGGCCCGTAATGATGGGCTTTTCAAATCGAAGCCCAAATCTCGAGGCCCAGTTGCCTATAAATACCCTGAGCCTGAGCTCCTTTG